TTATAAAAGAGATGAATGATACTTCCAGGGGCCTCCTATTGTTGTCATCCCATCTCAATGCTCTGTGTAATTGGGGGACTATGGGGCCAATGAGGTTTAATGTTGATAAATGTAAGGTTCTGCACTTGGGGGCTAAGAGAATGCATGCATCATACATACTAGGGGGGGTGCAACTGGGGGGGTCAATGGTGGAGAAGGATCTGGGGGGGGTCAATGTAGAGAAGGATCTGGGGGGGGGATCAATGGTGGAGAAGGATCTGGGGGAGTCAATGTGGAGAAGGATCTGAGGGGGTCAATGGTGGAGAAGGATCTGGGGGGGTCAATGTTGGAGAAGGATCTGAGGGGGTCAATGGTGGAGAAGGATCTGAGGAAAGGGGGTCAATGGTGGAGAAGGATCTGGGGGGGTCAATGGTGAAGAAGGATCTGGGGGGGTCAATGGTGGAGAAGGATCTGGGGGTTCTGGTAGATCACAAGCTTAATAATGGCATGCAATGCAAAGCTGCGGGTTCAAAAGCGAGCAAAATCCTCTCTTGTATTAGGAGAGGTATAGACTCCAGAGAGAGAGGAGATTAAGGGGGGGGGGGGGGTATGATCTCCATGTATAATACATAAGGGGGGGATATGATCTCCATGTATAATACATAAGGGGGGATATGATCTCCATGTATAATACATAAGGGGGGATATGATCTCCATGTATAATACATAAGGGGGGATATGATCTCCATGTATAATACATAAGGGGGGTATATGATCTCCATGTATAATACATAAGGGGGGGATATGATCTCCATGTATAATACATAAAGGGGGGATATGATCTCCATGTATAATACATAAGGGGGGATATGATCACCATGTATAATACATAAGGGGGGGGATATGATCTCCATGTATAATACATAAGGGGGGGATATGATCTCCATGTATAATACATAAGGGGGGGGATATGATCTCCATGTATAATACATAAGGGGGGGATATGATCTCCATGTATAATACATAAGGGGGGGATATGATCTCCATGTATAATACATAAGGGGGGGGGATATTATCTCCATGTATAATACATAAGGGGGGGAATTGATCTCCATGTATAATACATAAGGGGGGATATGATCTCCATGTATAATACATAAGGGGGGGGGGGATATGATCACCATGTATAATACATAAGGGGGGGATATGATCTCCATGTATAATACATAAGGGGGGATATATGATCTCCATGTATAATACATAAGGGGGGGTATGATCTCCATGTATAATACATAAGGGGGGGGATATGATCTCCATGTATAATACATAAGGGGGGATATGATCTCCATGTATAATACATAAGGGGGGATATGATCTCCATGTATAATACATAAGGGGGGATATGATCTCCATGTATAATACATAAGGGGGGGGATATGATCACCATGTATAATACATAGGGGGGATATGATCTCCATGTATAATACATAAGGGGGGATATGATCTCCATGTATAATACATAAGGGGGGATATGATCTCCATGTATAATACATAAGGGGGGATATGATCTCCATGTATAATACATAAGGGGGGATATGATCTCCATGTATAATACATAAGGGGGATATGATCTCCATGTATAATACATAAGGGGGATATGATCTCCATGTATAATACATAAGGGAGGATATGATCTCCATGTATAATACATAAGGGGGGATATGATCTCCATGTATAATACATAAGGGGGGATATGATCTCCATGTATAATACATAAAGGGGGATATGATCTCCATGTATAATACATAAGGGGGGATATGATCTCCATGTATAATACATAAGGGGGGATATGATCTCCATGTATAATACATAAGGAGGGATATGATCTCCATGTATAATACATAAGGGGGGGATATGATCTCCATGTATAATACATAAGGGGGATATGATCTCCATGTATAATACATAAGGGGGATATTAAAAAAAATAAAAATATATATATATATTTATACACACAGACAAGAGAATTTCTAGGTAAATGAAGTATACATTCAGACATTGTTACCAACCTTCGGGTGGTCAGGACTGCAAAGAACCAAATCAGCTTTAGGGCTGTGAAAAAAATGAAATGAATTATTAAACAGATTTGCATGTAATATTTTTTTTTTTACAATCGGAATATATTTTGCATTTCATCTGCAAGGTATTACCATAAAATTTCATCAAAAAAAAAAAAAAAAAAAAAAAGGATGTACGGTGGGATGGTGATAGTAGGTGAAAGATTTTAAGACAAGCTACAGTACCTAAAATTGTCCATGGGTGGCGCTCCAAAAACCTTTACAGGTTATCAGTTTGGAGAGTTAATCGTGAATTATGACCCCCCAGAATTATTGTCCTTACTCCGCCGTCTTCAGCGATACCTCACACCTCATGATTGGTGCAATCACCGTTTACCTACACGTGCCGGACCTATGCATGCTTTTGCATTTGCCTGTATGTGAGGGGGGAGGGGGGGCTGCTTTTAATTTTTTTTAATTATTTTTAAGTTTTTTTTTTAAATTACATTTTTTACATTTTATTGCTATCACAAGGGGCCCTCTTGGGATAGTGGACAGTTGTGAAAGGTATTGTTTATAGAGGCATCAGGGGCCTATTAGACCCCTGATGTCTCCCCTGCCCTCTATTTATTTTAAGTTTATTAATTATTTTTACGGTTTTTAAAAAACGTGTGTTTTATTTTACTTTAGTGTTACCACAAGTGGCGACCAAACCCCCTTGTGATAGTGGAAAGTTGTGAAAAGTACTGTTTATAGAGGCATCAGGAGCCTATTAGACCCCTGATGTCTCTTTTTCGCTCCTACCCTCCATTTATTTTGTTTATATTTTACACTTTTTTTTAAAAATGTTGTTTTATTTGACTTTATCCCTTTCACAAGGGGCGACTAAGCCCTCTTGTGATATTGGGTAGTTTTGAAAGGTACTGTTCATAGATGCATCAGGGGCCTATTAGACCCCTGATGTCTCTCCTGCTCTCTATTTATTTTAAGTTTATTTTTACACGTTTTAAAATTTTTTGTTGTATTTTACTTTATCGCTTTCACAAGGAGCGACCGAGCCCTCTTGTGATAGTGGACAGTTGTGAAAGGTACTGTTTATAGAGGCATCAGGAACCTATTAGACCCCTGATGTCTCTCCTGCCCACCATTTATTTTAAGTTTATACTTTTTTTATGCTTTTTAAAAACTTGTTTTGTTTTAATTTATTGCTACCACAAGGGGTGACCAAGCCCCCTTGTGATATTGGCAACTTCAAAGGTACTAGGTATGGAGGCATCAGGGGTCTATTAGACCCCTAATGTCTCTCCTGCCCTCTATTTATTTTATGATTATTAATTTTTTTACGCTTTTAAAAAAATGTGTGTTTTATTTTACTTTATTGCTGTCACAAGTGGCGACCAAGCCCCCCTGTGATATTGGGCAGGCGACAGGTACTCTTTATGGAGTCATCTCCCCTATCCTAGAAAACAGCTAATCAAGCACAGGTCAGGCTTGGTTGCTTGCCCTGGAACAGGAAGTGACAAAATTGTTGCTTCTGTGTCCATTTGTCGCAGGGATGATTTGGGGGGGGGGGGGAAACAGATATTCCTCCATCCCCTCTGTGGGAGGCCATCCCAACCGGTTATCGTGGTCCTGGGGTCCCTGGAGGAGTGGGTGAGACTGAGAACCATCGCGGGGGGGGGTGGAGGGAGAGTGGTGGGACCTTCAATGTGCTATAAAATGATCAGGTGGCTGTAAGGGGTTTCATTTGTGTCCCTACTGGAGAGGTTCGCTCCGTTCGTCCTGATGTCCTTAATTTAGAGGGATTCCCTCTGACCAGGGCCCGAAACTGAGGGGACCGAGGGGGCATGTGCCCCGGGCGCCACATTGAGAGGGCTGCCACGGCTAGCACTGATCCTTCTGCAGTTTGGCATTTTCGGCACTGAATGACCTTGTCCCAGCACTGCCTCTAACTTCCATGTGTGCCAACAGGACAGGAAGTGAGATCTCCCCCATGGAGAAGATCTGGCGGGGGGAGGGAGGGGGTGTTACCCCTTCCCTATACCAAAGTTGAAATAAAGTTTTTTGGCTTTTGATATGCTGCTACAAATATTGTTCTGTAGATCTGTACAATCACACCACGCACCTTACAATCTATTTCAATTGAAATTTTTTCTACAGTTCACCTGGCTGCAGCTGGAGGCAAACTCTGTTTTTACGGCTGAATCTACTTACTGTACATATTTACATCGGAGGCCTTCAGGGCAGAAGCCGACCAGGTAGTTGGTGCACATCACCCTGCGGGTATGTCGATGTTTACATGCCGGTCCTGAGAGGAGAGAGGGGGGAGAGGGAGAGAGGGGGGGGGGGGAGAGGGGGGGGAGAGAGAGAGGGGAGGGGGGGGAGAGAGAGGGGGGAGTGGGAGAGAGAGACAGGGGGGGGGAGAGAGAGGGGGAGTGGGAGAGAGAGACAGGGGGGGAGAGAGAGAGAGAGGGAGGAATGGGAGAGAGAGACGGGGTGGGAGAGGGAGAGAGCGAGAGAGAGGGTGGAGAGAGGGAGAGAGAGAGTATTACACATGGAGATCCTATCCCCCCCCCTTTATGTATTATATAGTTAGATCAAATCCCCCTTATTGTATTATACATGGAGGTCATATGGGTCATGGGTTCGACTCACGACCATGGCGCCTCCTGCATGGAGTTTGCATGTTCTCCCTGTGCTTGCGTGGGTTTCCTCCAGGTGCTCCGGTTTCCTCCCACACTCCAAAGACATGCTGGTAGGTTAATTAGCTTCCGTCTAAATTGTCCCTAGTATGTGTATGTATGAATGTGAGTTAGGGACCTTAGATTGTACGCTCCTCGGGGGCGGGGACTGATGGGAATGTACAATATATATATATATGTGTAAAGCACTGTGTAAACTGACAGCGCTATATAAGTACCTGAAATAAATAAATAAATGTATTATACATTTAGATCATATCCCCCCCCTTATGTATTCTACATGGAGATCATATCCCCCCTTATGTATTATACATGGAGATCATATCCCCCCCTTATGTATTCTACATGGAGATCATATCCCCCCTTATGTATTCTACATGGAGATCATATCCCCCTTATGTATTATACATGGAGATCATATCCCCCCTTATGTATTATACATGGAGATCATATCCCCCCTTATGTATTATACATGGTGATCATATCCCCCCTTATGTATTATACATGGAGATCATATCCCCCCTTATGTATTATACATGGAGATCATATCCCCCCCCCTTATGTATTATACATGGAGATCATATATCCCCCTTATGTATTATACATGGAGATCATATCCCCCCTTATGTATTATACATGGAGATCATATCCCCCCTTATGTATTATACATGGAGATCATATCCCCCCTTATGTATTATACATGGAGATCATATCCCCCTTATGTATTATACATGGAGATCATATCCCCCTTATGTATTATACATGGAGATCATATCCCCCCTTATGTATTATACATGGAGATCATATCCCCCCTTATGTATTATACATGGAGATCATATCCCCCCTTATGTATTATACATGGAGATCATATCCCCCCTTATGTATTATACATGGAGATCATATCCCCCCTTATGTATGATACATAACAGCTCAGTGTAAAATAATGGTGAGGAACATCCTCCGTTTGGGCTCCTCCCAAGCCCTGCCCCCTGAGAGGTTTCGCCCCGCCTCTGGGGCTCAGTCCTAGAGGTAGAAGGGACAGTTGCTGACCTCCAGTGTCTGGGGATAACAGACCTAGCAGCCATAAAGAAGAATCTAAGCAGCTCCTTCTTGGATAGAGCCCGGTAGTATTGGGAGAAGGGCTTATTGTGGGGTATGTTGCTGGCTGCTAGAAGTTCTATTTTTTCTGAGATGGGTCTAATGTTTGTGGGGTGGATCTATTATTTTTAGGGGGTATTTGGTTGCAGGGGGTATATTGTTGCTTGAGAGGTCTATTGTGGCTGGGGGATCTATTTTTGCTGCGATTGGTCTGTGTTGTGGATCTATCGTTTTTAGGGGGTATTTTGTTGCGGGGGGGTATATTGTTGCTTGGGGGGGGTCTATTGTGACTGGGGGATCTATTGTTGCTGGCTACTGAAAGTTCTCTTGTTGCTGCGATTGGTCTAATGTTTGTGTTGTGGATCTATTGTTTTTAGGGGGTATTTTGTTTTGGGGGATCTATTGTTGCTAGGAGGTTTTATTGTGGCTGGCTGCAGAGGATCTATTTTACTTGTTATCATTAAAAAAATTTCATACAAATTACTCCTCAAAATAATACTTGGTTCTGCATTCTCCAAAGGGGGCGCTGTACTGGGAGGTGGGTAGGGGGTGGAACCAAGGGACGGCGCTAGGGGGAGGAGACAAGGGGGTGACTTGGAAGGGAGGAGTACTTGAACCTATTCTCTCTGATGACCCCCCCAAAACATGCACTAGTATTCCTTGGTGAAGGCAGCATCTCCAAGAGAAGTTAGAGCCAGCTATAGTACTGTAAATGGCAGATACAATTACAGAATTGAAAAAACTAACCCTTTTACATTTTTGCATATTTGTCAACCTAAGAATACAAAATCCAGAACCAGGATTATATTAACAGTTATAAGTCTTTAGAATGTATCAAAATGATTGAGGAATGCACATTAAAATGATTGAAGTAAACTATGACATGCGAATGGAGCCGAATGTAGCCCGGGCATCTCGGAATCGACGTCCTGCGGTCACAAAGGGGTTAATGTATTATGGAAAGATCTGCAATAGCCAAGAACTGGTTTACACGACACAAAACCACTTGAAAAGTAACCGGCCAGGCGAAGTTTTCACTTTACAGGCAATGAAGGATGACAGCTCACCCTCTGTACTCCATCCCATTACCTCCTGCATTGTGTGCTGCTCAACAAACAATAAAAATGACAAGTGCGTGAAATTCCTCCGACTCGAGGAGGGCGTTCACACGGGCGATCCTGGGAGGAGGTGAGAAACCGAACAAATCCGATACCATCCCCACCTACTCCACCCTTATTCGTGACAGACGGATGAGGAGAGTTCTGTGTACAGATGTCACATATTCTTCAGGATATTGTCATATTGGGATGAGAGAGAGAAGGAGAGAGGAGAGAAGGAGAGAGGAGAGAATGGAGAGAGGAGAGAAGGAGAAAGGAGAGAGGAGGAGAAGGAGAGAGGAGAGAGGAGAGAAGAGAGAGGAGAGAAGGAGAGAGGAGAGAAGGAGAGAGGAGAGAGGAGAGAAGGAGAGAGAGAAGGAGAGAAGGAGAGAGAGAAGGAGAGAAGAGAGAGAGAGAAGGAGAAAGGAGCGAAGAAGGAGAGAGGAGCGAGAGAGAAGGAGAGAGAGAAGGAGAGAGAGGAGAGAGAGAAGAGAGAGAGAGAAGAGAGAGAGAAGGAGAGAGGAGCGAGAGAGAGGAGCGAGAGAAGGAGAGAAGCGAGAGAAGGGGAGAGAGGAGAGGAGAGAAGGAGAGAGGAGCGAGAGAAGGAGCGAGAGAAGATTAGAGAGAGGAGCGAGAGAAGGAGAGAGGAGCGAGAGAAGGAGAGAGGAGCGAGAAAGAAGGAGGAGGAGCGAGAGAAGGAGAGAGGAGCGAGCGAGAGAGAGGAGAGAGGGGGAAAAAGGGGGAGAAAAGAGGAGAGAGAGAAGGAGAGGGGAGAGAGAAGGAGAGAGAGAAGGAGAGAGAGAGGAGAGAGGAGAGAGAGAAGGAGGAGGAGAGAGAGAAGGAGAGAGGAGAGAGAGAAGGAGAGAGAGAAGGAGAGAGAGAAGGAGAGAAGGAGAGAGAGAAGGAGAGAGGAAAAGGTTTGGGAGGAAGAGAGAGAGAGGAGAAAAGGAGAGAGGAGGAGAAAAGAAAGGAGAGGAGGGAGAGAGGGGAGCGAGGAGGGGGGAGGAAGAGAAGGAAAGGGAGGGGGAGAGGGAAGAGAGGGAAGGAGCGAGAGAGAGAGCGGAGAGAGGGAAAAAAAAAGGGGGAAGAGGGAAGGGAAAAAGAGAGGAGAGGAGAAGAAGGAAGGGGGGGGAGGAGAAGGAGAGGGGGAGTTTAGAAGGAGAAGGGAGAAAAGAGGGGGAGAGAGAAGAGGGGAAGAGAGAGGAGGGGGAGAGATTAAAAAGAAGGGGAAGAGAGAGAAGGGGAGAGGAGAAGGGGAAGAGGAAGGGGGGAAAAGAGAGAAGGGGGAGAGAGGGGGGAAGGGAGGAAGGGGGGGGAGAATTTACGAGAGAAAAAAAGAGAGAGGGAGAAAAAAAGAGAGGGAAAAAAGATGAGATGGGGGATGGGAGGAGAGAAAAAAAGAGAGGGGGAGAGAGAGAGGGGGAGAGAGAGAGGGGAATGAGAGAGGGGGGAGGGGGGGGGGGGGGGGGAAGAATAGAGGGGGGGGAAAAGGGGGAGAGGGGAAAGAGATGAGAGGAGGGGGGGGGGGGAAGAGAGGGGGGAAGGGGGAGAGAGGAGGGAGAGAGAAGGTGGGAGGAGGGGGGGAGAGGATTAGGGGGAGGAGGGGGAGAGAGAGAGAGAGATAAGAAAAAGAGAGGGGGGGTGGAGAGAGGGGGGATGGGGAGAGAGAGAGAAGTGGGGGGGAGACGGGGGGGGGGCGGGGAAGGGGGGGAGAGAGGGGGGGAAGGGGGGAGAGAAGGGGGGAGAAGGGGGGAGGAGGGGGAGAAGGGGGTAAGAGAGACCATTTGGGGGGGGAGAAAGAGAAAGGGGGGAGAGAGAGAATCCTTAAAAGAAAGAAGGGGAGAGAGAAGGGAAGAGAAGAAAGAAAAAGAGAGAAAAAGAGGAAGGGAGAGAGAGGAAACAAAAAAAAAGAAAAAAGGAAAAAATAGAGGAGGAAAGAGAAGAGAAAAAAAGAAGAAAAAAGAAAAATAAAGGGAGAAGATAGGAGAGGGAAAAAGGAAAAAAAAAGGGAAAAAAAAAAACAAAAAAAAAATGGAAGAAGAGAAATAAAAGAGGAAAAATAGAAAAGAGTTGAAGGAGAGAAGAGGAAAAAAAAAGGGAAAAAAAAGAAGAGAGGACTAGAAAAAAAATAGATGGGAAAAAGAGAGAAGAGGGGAAAAAAAAAGAGAGGGGAAAAAAAAGAGAAAGGAAAAGAGAAAAAAAGGAAAAAGAAAAAAAAGGGAGAGGATTTGAAAAAAGAAAGGGAATGAGAGAAGAGAAAACAAAAGGGAGAAGAGGAGAGGGATGATGACCCGAAAAAAAAAAAAAAAAAAGAAGAGTGGAGAAAAAAAAAGAAAAGAGGAAAGAAGAGAGCAGGGCAGGAAGAAAAAGGAGGGAGAATAGAAGAAAAGAGAGTAAAAAATGGAGAGAAGAAATCAGAAAATAACAAAAAGAGAGGATAAGAAAAAAATGGTAGACAGATAGCAAGATAAGGGAAGAATAGAGAGAAAAAAAAAAAAGACAGAAATCATGATATGACAATATACAGTATGTCTATGACTACAGGAGGAAAAGAAGAAGTAAAAAAAAAAAAAAGGACAAAAAGAGAAAGAAGGAGGGGAATGAGAAAAAGAGGAGAGAAAACAAAAAGGGAAAAGAGAAGAGAGGAGAGAGAGAGAAAAAAATTATGTCCTGAAGGGGGGGGGGGGGGGGGGGGGGATGAGAAGGAGAAAGAAAATAAAAACAAGGTGAAGAGAGGGGAAGAGAAAAGTAGGAGAGAAAAAAGGAGAAAAAGAGAAAAGAAAATAACAAAAGTTGGGGGGAGAGTTGAGAAGAAAAAGGGTAGAAAGCGAAAAGGAAGAATAGAGAGCGTTTAAAGAGAAATCTTGAATATGAGAATGTCTATGGGGATTTTAGTATGCTCTCAGGGGTAATAGGTCATATAGTGATGATGGTGGGTGGTTGGTGGTGGTGGTGGTGGTGGTGGATGGTGGTGGTGGGTGGTGGTGATGGTGGTGGTGGTGGTGATGGTGATGGTGGTGGTGGTGATGATCCTGATCAGCTGGGTTCAATTAAGTCGCTGGCCAGGAACAAGCATGCATGTCTGTACAGGCAGAGTAATGCCGGACACCCTGTGCTTGGTATGGGACACGAGGTATTGAAGCTTGGGGGGTACATGTTGTATGAAGACTCCAATCACGGCAGTCCAGTTACCACTGTTACTTACATGGGCCGGGTCGTATCGGGAGCTTAGCTCAGGGTGTGATTGTTGTTAAACATGAACTTGATAGGTGGAGTTACATAACTGGAGGTGTGACCTCCCCGGGGGAACAATGTTGGGGCAGTATTATAATTCATCACAGGCCTCCACCTTTGTTTAGGGAAGGATGTTCTAATCTGACAAAGACGACTTCTTCACATCTCCTTGAAAGCATCTATCTTCACAGTCTAAAATATGTACTTTACTGCCCTCATGAAAGAGATCCATCCTTCATTGGAGAGGCCCATCTATCATAAGAGAGGCCCTTCCTTCATAGAAGAGCTCCAATCTTAATAAGAGAAAGTGCAGCCTTCACAGCAGAGGTCCATCCTTCATAGAAGAGCTACAATCTTAATAAGAAAAGGACCATCCTTCACTGGAGAGGTCCATCCTTCACTGGAGAGGTCCATCCTCCACAGCAGAGGTCCATCCTTCACTGGAGAGGTCCATCCTCCACAGCAGAGGTCCATCCTTCACTGGAGAGGTCCATCCTTCACTGGAGAGGTCCATCCTCCACAGCAGAGGTCCATCCTCCACAGCAGAGGTCCATCCTCCACAGCAGAGGTCCATCCTCCACAGCAGAGGTCCATCCTCCACAGCAGAGGTCCATCCTCCACAGCAGAGGTCCATCCTCCACAGCAGAGGTCCATCCTCCACAGCAGAGGTCCATCCTCCACTGCAGAGGTCCATCCTCCACTGCAGAGGTCCATCCTCACTGCAGAGGTCCATCCTCCACTGCAGAGGTCCATCCTCCACTGCAGAGGTCCATCCTCCACTGCAGAGGTCCATCCTCCACAGCAGAGGTCCATCCTCCACAGCAGAGGTCCATCCTCCACAGCAGAGGTCCATCCTCCACAGCAGAGGTCCATCCTCCACAGCAGAGGTCCATCCTCCACAGCAGAGGGCCATCCTTCACTGGAGAGGTCCATCCTTCACTGGAGAGGTCCATTCTTCACTGGAGAGAGGTCCATCCTTCATAAGAGAATTTAATTCTTCATAAGAAAGGTCCATCCTTTATAGAAGAGTTCCATCCTTAATAAGAGAAGGTCCATGCTTCATAGATGAGTTCCATTCACAATAAGAGAAGGTCCGTCCTTCACAGGAGAGGTCCGTCCTTCACAAGAGAGGTCCATCCTTCACAGGAGAGGTCCGTCCTTCACAGGAGATGCCCGTCTATCATAAGAGAGGCCCATCCTTAATAGAGGAGTTCTATTCACAATAAGAGAAAGTCCATCCTTCCCAGGAGATGCCCATCCTTCATAGAACAGTTCCATTCACAAAAAGAGAAAGTCCATCCTTCATAGTAGAGGTCCATCCTTCATAAGTGACCATGTGACCTTCTCTTAGAAACAAACCTTATTTAGGGATTTTAAGCCCCTTGTTAGTATAACGTACATGAACGCCACAACAGTATTACCGTGCTTGCAGAATCCTCGGTCGTACCACGGGCAGTCTTTGATTTTGGATGCCGGGTCGATATGCAGGAAAGGACAGTCCTTGTTGCTGCATTCCCCTAATAGAGTGAAGATAGAGGAAGAGTGAGGTGCAACGTATTATACAAAAGTGGAGTTCTACTCTAACGGCCTTTCTCAACCTTTTCAACACAGAGGAACCCTTGAAATAACTTTCCGGTCTCAGGGAACCCCTGCTAAACATACCTACAACTCATGCTACATTGGTGAGTTAGTCAGTGGGAAGAACGCTCCTTACAGTTGTAGTCATTGGGAAGAATTACCCCCTTGGAGATAGCTAAAATGATCAATGGTGTCACTGGGAACCTATCTGAGAGACAGAAATTTCTTGAGCAGGGGCAGACTGACCATTTGGAAACTCAGGCACTGCCCAGGGTCAGTAGGGGGGCCCATGAGATGCCCCTGGTACCTTTTTCATAGACTATTTTGAGTTTGGGCAAGGACACAGGGGCCCTATGATCCCCTATTGGCGGGGGCCCATGAGTTGTCAGTCTGCCCCTGTTCTTGAGGAACCCCCAACAACCTCTGGAGGAACCCTGGTGGAGAAATCCTGGTCTAACAGGCTGCTTGTCATTCTGAATGTTCACCATGGGATGGCAGCAGAAGACCATACATGTGCAACTTGCTGACCTTCGGATCCTCATCACTTAGACTTGGATTGTAATAATAAAAAAAAATAAAGAAAAAAAAACCTGTCACTTGTCTGTTGCAAGCTGGGAAAATGTAATCACATGACGCATTGCTTTCAATTGCATTGTACAACAGCGAGGGGAAGTCGCCGTGAGATGGCAAAAATTGGAATGCATTTCCCATCTCTGTGACTACAGAACGAGCCGAGCAGAGGAGCATTTGGTCAGCCTGACGGCCTTGCAGTGGGAAAGCGGAACAGTAAAGCACAGTCACCGTACAGGATCACTAAGCCTTAATATAAAATGACCAAATGGTAATATTTTGTTAAAAAGCAGAAAGTGGTCGTCCAGGAGCGGACGGACAACTCATGGGGCCCCCAGGCAATAGGGGATCATGGGGCCCCTGTGTCCTTGCCCAAACTCAAAAAAGCCTATGAAAAAGGTACCAGGGGCATTTCATGGGGCCCCCTACTGACCCCAGGCCCTTGGGCAGTGCCCAAGTTTCCAAATGGTCAGTCTGCCCCTGTGGTCGTCTATCATCAGTGCACAGCGGCAGCCAAGAGCTCTGTATTGGGTTCTGTAGGGCTTTCTACACAGCAGCACCAGAAGATAGAGCCTAGCGAGTGTTTATGGCAAATAAATCGCTAAATCTTCCGAAGCACTCAGGCTATAGAATCCAGATGTGGTGACAGCGCAGTCCCAGTTGTGGTCCTTCCGGTCCTCAGTCTGCCCCCGTAGGATATTCCCTGTCCTTGTGGCTAAGGTTTTATCTCCAAATGGTCCTTCTGTAGACAATGGATCAGCTCCACCTACAGTGCTGTGAAAAAGTAATCCTCCCCCCTTCCTTTTTTTAGTTTTTGCATATTTATTACACTTAAATGATTGAGGTCATCAAACAAATTTTAATATTACACAAAGACAGGGCTTTATTCAGTGGGAATGCCGTTCCGGCACCCCCAGCACTGAGTGTATGTATTGGCAAGGGGTGCTGGAGGATCTAATGTAGGGTTTCTCAACCAGGGTTCTGTGGAACGCTAGGGTTCCTCTAGGGGTTCCTTGAGCAATTGTAACTTTTTTTTTTTATGGTTGAACTGGATGGACTTTTGTCTTTTTTCAGCCAGACTAACTGTAAACTAAGTAGCATCAACGTAGTGAAAGAACCTTTGTGGGAGCAAAGTCACATGTGAGGGTTAAGGGCAAAAGGTTAGGGTTAGCAGTAATTGTGAGGGTTGAAACCTCATCCCCAACTCTAACCATAACTCTAAACCCCAGCCCCCCGACTCTAACCCCAGCCCCCAACTCTAACCCCAGCCCCCCGACTCTAACCATAACCCCCGACTCTAACCCCAACCCCGACTCTAACCATGACTCTAACCCCAACCCCCCGACTCTAACCCCAACCCCCGACTCTAACCATAACTCTAACCATAACCCCCAACTCTAACCATAACCCTCGACTCTAACCATAACTCTAACCATAACTCTAACCATAACCCCCGACTCTAACCCCAACCCCCGATTCTAACCCCAACCCCCGACTCTAACCACAACCCCCGACTCTAACCACAACCCCCGACTCTAACCACAACCCCCGACTCTATGTAACTATGGGACACAGAGTTTCTCAACCAGGGTTCCGTGGAACCTTAGGGTTCCTCCAGGAGGTTGCCAGGGGTTCCTTGAGCAATGAGCAATTTTTGCCTCTCAGGTAAGTTCCCACTGACACCATTGATCTTTTTAGCTATCTGTAAGGGGGTGATTCTTCCCAATGAGCACAAGTGTAAGGAGCATTCTTACGTCTGGCCTTCACACTAATGTATCAGGTATTTCAGCAGGGGTTCCCTGAAGGTGTGTCAAGGGTTCCTCTGCATTGAAAAGGTTGAGAAAGGCTGATCTACCGTTACTGGTTGCTGTGGGTTCAACTGTTGCTAGTGGGGATCTGTTGTTGCTGGGGATGAGTCTTATGTTGCTGGGGGGGTCAATCCTTGCTGGTAGGGATTTAATGTTGAGGGAGGGGGTCTATAGTCTGGCTGCTGGAGGGTCTATTGATGCTGGCTGCTGGAAGTCTCTTTTTGCTGGGATGGATCCTTTTGTCGCTTGGGGGGACCATCATTTCCCTGGAGGGGTCTATTGTTGCAAGCTACAAGGGATCTATTTTACTGCCTTTTCTGGTAACTGAATACTAACATGTATAGATAAGGTTGATCCAGGGAATATCCGATTGCCTCTCGGGGGATCAGGAAGGAATTTTTTCCCCCTGCAGGAGTACACTGGATCGTGCTTTGCTGAGTTTTTTTTGCCTTCCTCTGGATCAACTGTGGGTGTCGGATTATAACTTTTTTTTTTATTGGTTGAACTGTATGGAATTTTGTCTTTTTTCAGCCAGACTAACTATGTAACTGTGTAACTGTTATCAATGGCAAACCCGATACACATTTCTTAGCACCACAAAATGATACTTGGCTCTGCATTCTCTAAAAGGGGAGGTGGGTAGAGGGTGGAACCAAGGGACAGTGCCCGGAGGTAAGTAGGGGGCGGAGACATAGGAGGATTGGGGAGTTCCTGCACCAATTGTATTAGAAAAAGATAACCCAAGTAAATACAAAATACAGTTTTTAAAGGATGTTTTCATTTACTAAGGGAAAAAAGCTGTGAAAAAGTAATTGCCCCCCCCTTGCTAAATCATGAATAAACTGCGACTATCCACATTTTTTTGAAAATTTTGAAAAGCTGGAGTTAAATGTCACTTGCTACACCCAGGCCTGATTACTGCCAGACCTGTTGAATCAAGAATTTCTCTTCTATAGAAGCTGACAAAGTGAAGCACGCTAAAAGATCTAAAAAAGAAACACCTCATGCCGCGATCTAAAGAAATTCAAGAACAGATGAGAAACAAATTGCCATGTATCAGTCTGGAAAGGGTTACAAAGCCATTTCTAAGGTTTTGGGACTCCAGTGAACCTCGGTGAGAGCCATTATCCACAAATGGAGAAAACTTGGAACAGTGGTGAACCTTCCCAGGAGCAGGGCCGGATCTAACCTGTCTGATGTAGGGTTGCAGTAAAAAAATGTCAGGGGGCAGAGGATGAGAGATCAGGACGGCAGTGTACAAGAGGTCAGCAGGGCAAAAGATAGGGTCAGCATTATGTAGGGCACACTGCCCTACAAACTAATGGCCTCTGTACACTACAGAGGCCATTAGTTTATAGAGCAGTTTACAGGAGACAACAGAGCTGAGGACAGGGGTCACTGCTGGCATGGAAGATTGGCTTTGGGGGGGCACAACTAAAATCTGGGGGGCATAGCCCACCCCAGCACCCCCCCTAGATTTGGCCATGCTCAGGAGTGGCCGACCTACCAAAATGTCTCCAAGAGCACGACGACGACTCATCCAGGAGATCATAACAGAACCCAGAACATCTACAGAACTGCAGGCCTCACTTACCCCAGGTAAGGTCAGTGTTCATGATTCAACAATAAGAGACCGGGCAAAAATGGCATCCATGGAAGAGTTCCAAGGCCAAAAAGAACACAGTCTTACATTTGCCAAAAACATCTTGTTTATCCCCAAGACTTTTGGGCAAATATTCTGTGGACTGATGAGACAAAAGTTGACGGTGTGCGTCCCGTTCCATCTGGCGTAAAACTAACACAACATTTCATAAAAAGAACATCATCCCAACAGTGAAACATGGTGGTGGTAGTGGTGTGATGGTCTGAGTTCAGGACCTGCACAACTTGCCATCGTTGATGAAACCATGAATCCTGAGCTCTACCAGAAAATCCTGAAGAAGAATGTCCGGCCATCAGTTCCTGAACCTCAAACTCAAGGACTCACTCGGATTATGCAGCAGGACAATGATCCGAAACACACCAGTAAGTCTAACTCTGAATGGCTCAAAAAAACAAAATGAAGGTTTTGGATTGGCTAGTCAAAGTCCGGACTTAAACTCGATGAAGATGCTGTGGCGTGACCGTAAACAGGCCATTCATGCTGGAAAACCCTCCAATATGGCTGAATGAAAAGAAGAGCGGGCCAAAATTCCTCCATGTGAAAGACTCATCGCCAGTTACCGCAAACGCTGGATCGCAGTTGCTGCCGCCAATGGTGACGCAACCAGTTATTAGGCTTAGGGGGCAATTACATTTTCACACAGGACCGGGCAGGTTTATTTAAGTCCGGACCTTGACTAGGCCACTCCAAAACCTTCATTTTGTTTTGTTTTTTTGAGCCATTCAGAGGTGGACTTGCTGGCTTGTTTCAGATCATTGCTGCATCCGAGTGCGCTTGAGCTTGAGGTCAGGATCTGACGGCCGGACATTCTCCTTCAGGATTTTCTGGTAGAGCTCAGGATTCATGGTTTCATCAATGATGGCAAGTCATCCAGGTCCTGAACCCAGACTATCACACTACCACCACCATGTTTCACGGTTGGGATGATGTTCTTTTTGATGTTCTTTCTGTAGTTCTAACACACTTCCCATCTTAGGGTAAAGAAAAAAAAAAAGATGCTCCTCCATAGATACAGTGCGGTGAGTGACCCTAGAACAGGCAGTGTGTTACTGGCAGGACCACCAGGTGAGAACAGGGTCCCGTTCACATCTCGCAATTTGGGATTGCAGGGAGAATAACTGTGATTTTGCCCGCAATCCCAAACCACGTGCTGATGGCTGCACAATGCGCCTTTGGTTGCCCCTTAATAGCACCCCAAACACGATGCAATTCTGCCTTGATTGTCGCACAACGGGATCTTGCGGCAAACAGCGCCTGTCAAAACCGCATGAAGCTTGCCACTGGGAGACACACAAAATCGCGTGCAAATCATTCAAAAATATCGCAGGCTTGTTCCTGCTACGCAAAAGAGTGAATGGGGCCTTAAGAAAACAAAAAAAAAAGCATAAAAAAGGAAAATGAATGCAGCCAACCCATCTAAGGACTGGTAAGCTCTGCTCTCTCCCATCGTTATGCTTCTTGCACTGCCAACGGATTGGCTCCTTGTGTTGCTTCCTCCTCTTCCAGACTGAGCTCTGCTGTAGGCAGTGCAAGAGGCTGACAACAGGGCAATTTCGGGCACTTATACTGCATGTATAAAAAATAAATGAATAAATCAGGATGTATTGATGAACAGAGCTGCCGTAGTTTGTGTCTTCTATATCAGCCCGAAGTTCATCTTTAATTCACACCTTCTCTCGTTCCTCACCAAACTTGGAGTAGAAGTAGCACTCGGGCATGCGGCCCATGTCGTACTCGTGCAGGAACTCGCACTGGTCGCCCTTCTTGCAGAGTCCCCTCAGCCAGTGTTTGCAGACCACCGTCTTCTCCCCGGTCAGGTGACGGAACGGGCACATGGCACCTGCAACCAGAGGATGGCGGTGACACCAACAGATCACTTCATCTGACCTTCTCAACCTCATCACTTCGGGGGAAACCCTGAAATCATTTTCATGTCTTAAGGGAACCTCTGCTGGAAACAAGAACCCTCTTAAACTGGTGGTTAGTGGTTGAAGGACACCCCTAAACCTGGTGGTTAGTGGTTGAAGGACACCCCTAATACTGGTGGTTAGTGGTTGAAGGACACCCCTAATACTGGTGGTTAGTGGTTGAAGGACACCCCTAAAACTGGTAGCCAGTGGGACAAGGGCCCCCTTAAACTGGTTGTCAGTGGTTGAAGAATGACTTTAAACTGGTGATCATGAGAGAAGGACCTCCTTAAGCTTGTGGTCAATGGGAGAAGGACCCCTTTACATTGGTGGTCAGTGGGGAAGGACCCCCCTTAAAACTGGTTGTCAGGGAGAGAAGAACCCCCTAAATTGGTGGTCAGTGGTAAAAGGAATCCCTTACATTGGTGGCCACTGGAAGAAGTACCCCCTTACATTACTGGCTTATGGGAGAAGGACCCTCTTATTTTGTTGGCCAGTGTGGCGAAGAACCAGGTGTTTGGTGGTCGGTGGGAGAAGGACCCCCTTACATTGGTGGTCAGTGGAAAAAGAACCCCTTACATTGGTGGTCAGTGGGAAAAGGACCCCCATACATTGGTGGTCGGTGGGGAGAAGGACCCCTTACATTGGTGGTCAGTGGGAGAAGGACCCCTTACATTGGTGGTCAGTGGGAAAAGGACCCCTTACATTGGTGGTCGGTGGGAGAAGGACCCCCTTACATTGGTGGTTGGTGGGATAAGGACCCCCTTACATTGGTGGTCGGTGGAAAAAGAACCCCTTACATTGGTGGTCAGTGGGGAGAAAGACCCCATACATTGGTGGTCAGTGGGAGAAGAAGGACCCCTTACATTGGTGGTCAGTGGGAGAAGGACCCCTTACATTGGTGGTCAGTGGGAAAAGAACCCCTTACATTGGTGGTCAGTGGGAGAAAGACCCGCCATACATTGGTGGTTGGTGGGAGAAGGACCCCTTACATTGGTGGTCAGTGGGAGAAGGACCTCTTACATTGGTGGTCAGTGGGAGAAGGACCTCTTACATTGGTGGTCAGTGGGAGAAGGACCTCTTACATTGGTGGTCAGTGGGAGAAGGACCTCTTACATTGGTGGTCAGTGGGAGAAGGACCTCTTACATTGGTGGTCAGTGGGAGAAGGACCCCTTACATTGGTGGTCAGTGGGAAAAGAACCCCTTACATTGGTGGTTAGTGGGAAAAGAACCCCTTACATTGGTGGTCAGTGGGAAAAGGACCCCTTACATTGGTGGTCAGTGGGAAAAAGGACCCCTTACATTGGTGGTCGGTGGGAGAAGGACTCCCTTATATTGGTGGTCGGTGGGAGAAGGACCCCCTTACATTGGTGGTCAATGGGAAAAGGACCCCCTCACATTGGTGGTCAGAAGAAGGCAGCCCCCCCTTACATTTAGACTCAAACAGAAGATCCATCTGCCCCTATCTGCTTCTCAAAGAACCCCTAACAACCTCTGGAGGAACCCTGGCTGGGAAAGGCTTGCTTAATCTCTCACAGACTTCTGCTCAAGAGAATCCCAGAGAAATGAATACTAAGAGACCCTTTTAAATGTCACACAAACAAAAGTGATGGGCCATGCAAACTCAGCCTAGCCGACAGACCCCTCACCTCCCCGACAGACCCCTCACCTCCACGACAGAACCCTCACCTCCCCGACAGAACCCTCACCTCCCCGACAGAACCCTCACCTCCCCGACAGAACCCTCACCTCCCCGATAGACCCCTCACCTCCCTGACAATACTCCATTGGCCATTGTCAAGGACAACCTACTGAGAAACAAATGATCCAAGTATCTATTCTTGATCGATTATGTTAGACAAACAACCTGGACTTACCTGTTATAATTCATTAGGTTACATTGTTTCTGAAGGAGACTTCAGCCTCTTGTTTCGTGTTTCTGTTCAGACTCCCTTCCCGAGAATACCAGGAGGTGGCGCTCTTACGTAAGGGGCAGTTGATAGTACTGATGAATTCTATACTCGTCTGTAGTAAGTATGTTATGAGTTCTCTTACCTTTTCGGCATAATCCCCGAATGAAGAAGCTACAGACGGCCGCCCCGGACTCTGCGCCATGAGAGAGAGAGAGGAAAGGGGGTTATTGTGGAGCTTCACAGAGGAGAGATTCTCTTCCTAGGAGAGTCCCCGGGGGACGGATTCATCTCTCTAGAAGATGAACCTCTGAAGCCCAGAGGCTCTGATTTCCGCTCTAACCTTCAAGAACAATCAGATCTCCCAGCTGTATCAGGTTGGAGCCGGAATGTATTCCGGAATTTATTGTCTCAGGAACAAGACCTACTTATTGTACACCCCCCCCCCCCTCCATCAGACTAATGTGACCCGACTGATGAACGTGTGAAGGGTCCAGAATCACTCACCACCGTAACGCCACCGGATGTTAACCCACCATTGGCATCAGAGCTGAATTCCGGGTGTGGCAACTTATACATTGGTCAAGCTTGGAGCAATATAAAAGATGTATATATCATACCTGCGGGCCGTGCCGGGTCATCTAGAGCCCAGGGTGAACGTGCCAAATCCTATCCCCCCCCCCCCCCCAAGAGGTTTGAGCATTATGTCAGCCCCAATACACCCCCCCAAAACAAAAATCAAGCACTAATCTGCATGCTTACCTCCCCCCCAAAGCATAAATTCCCCCTCCTCCCAGTACAAATCCACCACCTGCTGAAAACCCCCCTCTCTGCCCAGATCTTTGTCCCCCCCATCCACCACTAGGTCAAATCTTCTCTCCCCCTGTATTCCCTTAACACAAATCCCCCCCCCACCCAAAAAAAATATTTCCCCCTCCTGGCACAAATCCTTTACCCCTCAAATGTTCCCTCCGACCACAAATCCGCTGAGGAGCCGGTACACCTGTGCAAGACTGAAGGGGAGGAGCCGGTACACCTGTGCAAGACTGAAGGGGAGGAGCCGGTACACACCTGCGCAAGAATGAAGGGGAGGAGCCCGTACACCTGCGCAAGACTGAAGGGGAGGAGCCCGTACACCTGTGCAAGACTGAAGGGGAGGAGCCCGTACACCTGTGCAAGACTGAAGGGGAGGAGCCGGTACACCTGTGCAAGACTGAAGGGGAGGAGCCGGTACACCTGTGCAAAACTGAAGGGGAGGAGCAGGTACACCTGTGCAAGTCTGAAGGGGAGGAGCCCGTACACCTGTGCAAGTCTGAAGGGGAGGAGCCCGTACACCTGTGCAAGTCTGAAGGGGAGGAGCCCGTACACCTGTGCAAGTCTGAAGGGGAGGAGCCCGTACACCTGTGCAAGTCTGAAGGGGAGGAGCCCGTACACCTGTGCAAGTCTGAAGGGGAGGAGCCCGTACACCTGTGCAAGTCTGAAGGGGAGGAGCCCGTACACCTGTGCAAGTCTGAAGGGGAGGAGCCCGTACACCTGTGCAAGACTGAAGGGGAGGAGCCGGTACACCTGTGCAAGACTGAAGGGGAGGAGCCGGTACACCTGTGCAAGACTGAAGGGGAGGAGCCGGTACACCTGTGCAAGACTGAAGGGGAGGAGCCAGTACACCTGTGCAAGACTGAAGGGGAGGAGCCAGTACACCTGTGCAAGTCTGAAGGGGAGGAGCCCGTACACCTGTGCAAGTCTGAAGGGGAGGAGCCCGTACACCTGTGCAAGACTGAAGGGGAGGAGCTGGTACACCTGTGCAAGACTGAAGGGGAGGAGCCGGTACACCTGTGCAAGACTGAAGGGGAGGAGCCCGTACACCTGTGCAAGACTGAAGGGGAGGAGCCGGTACACCTGTGCAAAACTGAAGGGGAGGAGCCGGTACACCTGTGCAAGACTGAATTAGAGGCCAGAGGGCGGATTTAATGGTTGGGCTCTAATAAAGACACCTTGAATGTCCTGATCTATAATTGCAGCGCCAAGGTCGGTCCTTCCTCTCGATCGCCTGTCATACAGTCAGGCCGGACTCCCCTTTAACCCATTACACGCCATAGTGGCCTCCGTTTATCATACTCACTGTCCATGCCTTGGAAGGGCAGCAGAAAGGATCCCCTCTGACCTTCCACATCCTTCTCCAGGTCAAAGCTGAACTTGTCAAACCCAGCGATTAACTCCTGCATGCCTGCCGACGGCGATCTGTCTGATTGGACGCCAATCCGGTCCTGGGAGACCTGTGTGCAGAGATCACTATACAAATAGGAGTCGCGCCTTTCAGAAATGCGTCTTTTATTAATGACGAGGGGTCTGGTATATATATATATATACACACAGCCCCGGCCAAGAGTCTTGAGAATGACACAAATATGTTTAAAAAAGTGCAGAAACTGTTTGAAGACCCCTCGCCCAATCAGCCGGTACACCTGTGCAAAACTGAAGGGGAGGGGCAGGTACACGTGCAAGACTGAAGGGGAGGAGCCGGTACACCTGTGCAAGACTGAAGGGGAGGAGCCGGTACACCTGTGCAAGACTGAAGGGGAGGAGCAGGTACACCTGTGCAAGACTGAAGGGGAGGAGCCGGTACACCTGTGCAAGACTGAAGGGGAGGAGCCGGTACACCTGTGCAAGACTGAAGGGGAGGAGCCGATACACCTGTGCAAGACTGAAGGGGAGGAGCCGATACGCCTGTGCAAGACTGAAGGGGAGGAGCCGATACGCCTGTGCAAGACTGAAGGGGAGGAGCCGGTACACCTGTGCAAGACTGAAGGGGAGGAGTCGGTACACCTGTGCAAGACTGAAGGGGAGGAGCCGGTACACCTGTGCAAGACTGAAGGGGAGGAGCCGATACACCTGTGCAAGACTGAAGGGGAGGAGCCGATACGCCTGTGCAAGACTGAAGGGGAGGAGCCGATACGCCTGTGCAAGACTGAAGGGGAGGAGCCGATACGCCTGTGCAAGACTGAAGGGGAGGAGCCGATACGCCTGTGCAAGACTGAAGGGGAGGAGTCGGTACACCTGTGCAAGACTGAAGGGGAGGAGTCGGTACACCTGTGCAAGACTGAAGGGGAGGTGCCGGTACACCTGTGCAAGACTGAAGGGGAGGAGCAGGTACACCTGTGCAAGACTGAAGGGGAGGAGTCGGTACACCTGTGCAAGACTGAAGGGGAGGAGCCGGTACACCTGTGCAAGACTGAAGGGGAGGAGCAGGTACACCTGTGCAAGACTGAAAGGGAGGAGCCGGTACACCTGTGCAAGACTGAAAGGGAGGAGCCGGTACACCTGTGCAAGACTGGAGGGGAGGAGCCGGTACACCTGTGCAAGACTGAAGGGGAGGAGCCCCTTTTATATATATACAGCCTCGGCCAAAAGTCTTGAGAATGACACAAATATGTTTAAAAAAGTGCGGACACATTTTGAAGACCCCTCGCCCAATCAGACATGTGTACTGTATAAGTGGGGTGAAGGTCACATCTCAGGGCCTGCTCACCCCCATCTTTGTGCGATAACATGCAACAACTCACCTAAGTATGTTGGTGCGATGTGGTGCTATTCATTCTGATTGGCACTGCATTGCACCAACGCACTTGGACAAGTTTCTGCGTGTTACCGTGAATAGATGGTGTAAATGACACCCCAAAGCGCCTGCTGCTGGACATGCATTGCGGCAGATTGCATTGGCCTGCGTCATAGTGCTGCCCCTCCCCCCCACAAAAATGTCTGTATGCAGTGTGATCTATTTGTGGATATCAGGGCCCCACGGGGCCCCTTACAGCCCACCTGATAGGTCCTATTTTTTGTTTCCAATATTTTTTATTAAAGTTTTGACAATAACAAGGTACAAGAACGCAGAACTACCATAAATGAGGTGCTGAGCGCTATAATAACCAACCTTTTTTTTCACCAGCCCTGTTGGGGGTGGGGCTTTGGAGAAAAATCAGGGGTCTAAACAATCCCCAGATGTCTCCCTTTTCACACAGAGAAAGGGACTGAGGACAGAGATTCATTAACCGCTTTCTCAACGCAAATGAATGACCAGGAACCAGGGGCGGACTGACCATTTGGGAACTCGGGTACTGCCCGAGGGCCCAGGGTCAGTAGGGAACCCCATGAGATGCCCCTGGTACCTTTCCTAGGCTTTTTTGGGTGAGGACACAGGGGCCCCATGATCCCCTATTGCCCGGGGGCCCCACGAGTTGTCAGTCCACCCCAGGCAGGAAGCGCTCTGTATAGGGGATTTGTGTTCATTCACAAAATGAAGCGTAGTAAACACGACGGTTTACTATGCTTCAAGTAGGAATGAGGCTACTGGAATCGATCCCCTCGTGGCTCCCCTGCAGCAGCTGAAAGCTGGCAGAAGTGAGAGGAGGAGAAGCCGACTGCACTGCAGGGGGGAAGCCACCGGGGATCAGTTTCAGTGATAAGGCAGTACAGCTGGCCCTCCTGCTCGTCAGGCACCCAGGTTCACCCCGGGTTTACTGATGGGGCCCGGGCCCCATACAGGTGGGCTGACTGTACTGCCGTATCAGCATCTCTGGTGGTAATGCGATAGGCAGGGGCAGACTGACCATTCAAGCACTCGGGCACTGCCCGAGGGCCCGGGGTCAGTAGGGGGCCCCATAAAATGCCGCTGGTACCTTTTATAGGCTTTTTTTGGGTGTGTTTTGAGTGTGGGCAAGGACACAGGGGCCCCATGATCCCCAATTGCCCGGGGGCCCCATGAGTTGTCAGTACGCCCCTGGCGATAGGTATGTGCGTCGGTGCAATGTGATGCCATTCTTTCTGCATATCGCTGGACATGCAGCGTACTCGTGGCCACAAACTGACTGCACTGCCAAAAATGCTGCGGCCACTTTCTTCTCTCATCAGTTTTGCACAAAGCGCGCAACTTATTTGCGATAAAAACGCCTTCGGCACATGCGTCGGTGCAACGTGGGGCATTTCATTCTGATTGGCAGCCCAGCACACCCGACAATGCGTGTTGCGCTGCCAAGACATGCACTATTTTTTTATAGTGCTCTGCAGTGCATGGCAACTGCGCTTTAACTCCCCCCCCCCCCCCCCCCCAGTCAAATCGATCCGACTCTGAAATCGTGCAACTTCCAATGAAGTCAGATGTCATTCCGGCTTGAGGTGCGACTTGCAAGACGCCTGCCTAGAGGCATGCACTACTTAAGGCTAGGTTCACACACAGTTTGTGTTTTTTGTGGTGTGTTTTTTACCCATTTTTCCCCAATTTGTTGCTGGGCAGAATAAAACACATCAAAAACACATCAAAACGCATCTAAAACGCACTACGTGCTTTTCTGGTGCACCTCCACTGAAGTCTATAGAACAAAAAAAAGCAACTTTTGCGTTTATAGTCCCCGACCCTTTTAAAAGGAGGAGGAGGGGGAGGAGGAGGAGACACTTATCTCCGACAGTTCTACGTATTTAATCTATTTGCGATAATGCGTTTGGTACATGCGTTGGTGCACCATTCATTCTGTGATGTTTTGGCGTTTATTTTAAAATCGCACCCCAACACACCTACACAAAACATGTTGCAGTGCAATTCGTGGCAACGCACTATTGACACCTAAGGCTGGGGTCACACTTATGCAGGTTGCGTTTGAGACGTTTCTGCATTGCGTTTTGCGGTTTGAGGGGTTTTTTTGTTTTTTTTATTGTTCTTGTTGCTAGGCAGATTAAAAATGCAAAGCAACGCAAAAACACAATACATGCATTGCTGCAGCATTGCCATTGAAGTCTATAGAACCAAAAACACAACGTTTTTGCGTTCAAAAAAGTCCCCGACCCTTTCCAAAAAAAACGCACCGGGGTGAAAACGCGGAGATGTGAACGTTTTCTGTAGGAAATCATGTTGAATGGGCTGTACTGCGTTTCTGGAAAACGCAGCGGAAAACGCTTAGGTGTGAACCCGGGGTAAGTCTATCCACTTCGGACTGCAATGTGGAAATACGTGTCAATAACACATGTCGATTCACAAAACATGTCATGTCCAGGGGTGGACTGACAACTCATGGGGCCCCCGGGCAATAGGGGATCATGGGGCCCCTATGTCCTTGCCCAAACTCAAAAAAGCCTATGAAAAAGGTACCAGGGGCATCTCATGGGGCCCCCTACTGACCCCGGGCCCTCGGGCAGTGCCCGAGTTTCTGAATGGTCAGTCTGCCCCTGGTCATGTCACATGACAACACATCTATGCACATGCATAGATCCAAATGGGCCCCATTCACACTTGGCCATTTGGAATTGCGGTCAGAACCTGCGCAATGTTGCCCACAATTCAAAATCGCACGGCAATTGCTCAAAAACACACACCACCTATTTGGGTTCCGTTGATTCTACATGGCGCCCCATACACAGGTCAATGTTGCCGTGATTTGCAGCATTCTACAGCAAAATGTGCCTTCAGCCCGGGTTCACACATGTGCGGTGCATTCCCGCATTTCTGTGCCAATCCCATGCGAATTCTGTGCGGTGCGATCGGCGTCGTACATTTTGCATGGCTCAGATCGCAATGCATCAGAATGACGCAGGACCCTTTTTTTGGTCTGCGCTAGAATCGGATCGCATGGCTATTCACATCCATGCAATCCGATTCTGCACAGCGCACCGCGTTTTGTAAGCCGATTTCGGGGTGTTGTAAACTGAGCATACACACCCGCAGCGGTTCGGATGCGGTGAGAAATTTGCACAGAAAACGCTTCTTTTGGGCAACAAATGTGCATAGGGCCACTCACTGGGGGGAAGGGCCACCCTATGTGCACAATCGCACGTTCCCACGACACAAAGTGTGGATGGGGCCTAAATAGATTTGCAGTTTCAAAATTTCCCCTCCAGCATCGCAGACACCCCAGAAACACCAACCTGTCCTCATGGGATTTCATATGGGGAAGAGTGGACAGGGAGGGGGATGGGTCAGGTGAAGCACAGGTGAGGCCAGGCACTGATTAGCACACCTGAGTGCAGGTCATGTGACAGATCAGAGTCAGGACACAGAGGATGGAGGAGTCAATGCTGACCAGGCGATCCCCGGAGGAGTTGTCACCTGGGTGAGTCTTCCACTGTTTCCGATACACTATATGATCTACATGTACATGGGGGGGGATTGGGGTGCTGATGTACTCAGGAGCTAAGGTGGGGGCTGGGTGATGCCGGAGGTTCTGGATGACTCAGGTGGGCACTGAATGATTTAGATGGGTGCTGGGTGACTCAGGTGTGCACTGAATGATTTAGGTGGGTGCTGGGCAGGGGCAGACTGACCATTTGGAAACTCAGGCACTGCCCGTGGGCCCAGGGTCAGTAGGGGGCCCCATGAGATGCCCCTGGTAACTTTTTCATAGGCTTTTTTGAGTTTGGGCATGGACACAAGGGCCCCATGATCCCCTATTGCCTGGGGGCCCCATGAGTTGTCAGTCCGCCCCTTGTGCTGGGTAATGGGTGACTCAGGTGGGCACTGAATGATTTAGGTGGGTGCTGGGTGACTCAGGTGGGCGCTGGGTAATGAGTGACTCAGGTGGGCGCTGGGTAATGAGTGACTCAGGTGGGTACTGAAGGGTTTAGGTGGGTACTGGGTAATGGGTGACTTAGGTGGGTACTGGGTAATGGATGACTCAGGTGGGCACTGAATGATTTAGGTGGGTGCTGGGTAATGGGCGACTCAGGTGGGCATTGGGTAATGGGCGACTCAGGTGGGCATTGGGTAATGGGCGACTCAGGTGGGCACTGGGTAATGGGCGACTCAGGAGGGTGCTGGGTAATGTGTGACTCAGGTCGGCACGGAATGATTTAGGTGGGTGCTGGGTGACTCAGGTGGGCACTGGGTA